GATGGCAGTGTAGGTAACGGTGTTGATGGTTTTATCGGTCTGTGTTAATTGTTATAGTAGTGGTGGTGTTTGTGGGTGTGGTGGTAGTGTTGGTAACAGTGTAGGTAGTGTTAATAATAGGTGTTGGTGGTTATGTTTTGATGGTTTTGGTGTACTTGCGTTTTAGTGTTTTAACATTTTTTGTTTGTAGTTTCATTCCTGGTTATGTTCAGTTATGTTGTAGGTGTTATCCGTTTGGTATGAACTGTGATAATAGATATTTATTTTCGTGTCTGCATTTTGAAATTATTTCCGATCATTGGTTTAGTAATTTCTTTTGTTGGGAGATTATTGCCACCTTTTTTTGTGTAGAGAAAGTAGACATGTCTTTGATATGTTATTGTGTGGACAGGTGAGGTTTTCATGTTTTTCCAGCTTATTTTTGATGTGATGTTTCTGCCTTTTAGTTGCCATATGTATGTGGGTAGCGTAGTGTTGTTGGAGTATTTTCTTTTTTGAGAATGACAGGTTGTGGGTGTATTTCTTTGCTGGAATGTTCTTTATGCGGCGCCAATGTAGTACATTGTAGTGTTGTTTGCATTTATCTTAGCTTTGTATACTATATTTGGTTTAAGGCAATTTCCTTGTTGTGGACATGTGGTTTTGTCTCTGCAGTTGCATTGGGGATGTCTTTGATTACGTCATTGCATGTTATTATTTTTTGATGTGGCTTTTTATTATTTGTATTCTATTTTTAGTGCAGTTGTAGCTAACCTAACAAAATATGATTTAAGCTGATGAATAAAAATGCCAAGATTTTTGACTTCTATGTTCACTTTTATATTTACACACGCTCTATTTCTGATATTGAGCACTTTATCCCATAAATATAGCACATCTTAAGACTATATTTCTTCATATATATATATATATAATCTTGTTCGAAAACTATTATCATTGGTGTTGTTACACTTGACTTGCGCCATATTAATGCATACCAAAAACAGACTAAACATCACATAGTCATCATTCCATGAAGCGATGGTTAAAAAATTGCTATTACTGAAGTGAAATAGAATTAGGTTGTGGCCTTGTGCCAAACAAAACTGAGTTTATGGAATAACTCTAGCACACTAATGTATGGACGGCTAAAAAGGGCATTATTTCGCAGGAAATCTCTCCTTAAGATTTCCAGGAATGGTGATTGAAGTGGTGAAAATGATGCATTAAAAAAATTAATGGTCATCTGTAAGTGGCCCCCACATCAAAAGTGATGACTATCGTCTATGCCATCTCGCAAAACAGAACAAGCTGACAAGTGATGCGTCCACTGCGGTCGGGCTGGTGATGCGGGACAACATGAAGTACTTCCGTTTTGTCCAGGAAAGACCCCCCCCCCACTTCACCCCGACTAAAAAATCAAAATCAAACAGAAAACGAAAGAACCAAAGGGAGGTAAACGATCTCTACACGCAAGAAGGCACAAACGCTAGCAACCCTCATCTCTTTCCGTGCTATGTTCTGTATACAAGCATGATCGCCTGGGCAGGGTTAGGGTTAAGTCAAAATGGTTTCACGCTCGACTCTTACTGTCAACGGCCAATGACAGAAAAATCAATTTAACTGACAGGTACGTCAAGTTGTGGCCGACGTGACATCCTCCGATTACAGCAGGTCAAAGGCAAGGTTGAAATTTTCAGGCATGTCCACAAAAAGCTGCGTAAATGACACGTGAGGCGGCGTAAAAAAATGTTGACCGTATTCTAAAATATTCGGTGAAGATTCTGTTTATAGATATTTACTGAAGTTAGCTAATGTTAGTACAACACACCTGGTGAGGAACAAATTCTTTGCGCCACTAATAGCCTAACTTTCTAACAATGTCACTGAGAAAATAGATTTTGCTTTTGTTTGATTCAAAATCTTTCGCCAGCATTTCCTGTATATAATCCGATTGATATTATATATTAGATAAATAAAGTGACATGTCTGCTTCACCCTTGCACCTCGTACAGGTTGGTGAGGGTTAAAACATAACAAGGTGCAATTCACTTATCATTAAATATATATAAAGACGTTTCACCGTAAAGTAACAATTGGCGTGTAGAGGATTCAATACTTACTGAGTGTCCAGACTTAGGTCTTCGGGCTAAAAACGTGAATATCTTTTCAAAATTAGCTACATGCTTTTCCCGACCAAAATCAACCATCTGCAGGCCATATGAGACCGGCTTAAGACAATGTTATGAGGTATGACTCTGTTGATTATTTTGTCGAATAACATTCAGTATAATTGAAATATGTTAGAAGAGAACTTGAAAGTAAAAGTTTCTAAAATTCAGCAAAGTCTCTAAAATTCAGCAAAGTCTCTAAAATTCAGCAAAGTCTCTAAAATTCAGTCACATTTTTTTTCTCGTGTCTTTGTGCTTAAACGATACCAAAATTGATTTTTGATTTTGGTCCATCACTTTCTTTTTCAAGTTATCATTCTTGCTTTCATTTTTTCCTTCTTCCTTTCATTTCTCTCTACATTTCTTCTTTGTTAAGATTGGCGCAATACTTCCGATTATTGTTTAACTTTAATCCTTTGAGTCCTGCGTTCCTGAACAATTTTAATCCTTCTGTCTGAACTCCTGAGTCAAAATTCGCAAATAATTGGTATGTAATGGTTGTATGGGAGAAAAAAAAATTATTGCCTCGCCTTGCTATTACGTTGTAAACGTCATCAACTCGGTTTGTTTTCCTTAATTTAAATTCTTAAGCGTTTCGAACTTCTTTGTACTGTTTTTACTTAGATCAAGGAGTGACCAAGACTAGCAACTGCTAGCCGAAATATTTTCATTAAAAAATAAATCATTCGTTGGAAATACAAGTTTTTTTGTTTTAATTATACGACTAGCAACGGAGACATGCATCTTAATTTTAATACATTCTTTGCATTCTATATAAAGCTATTGCATTGAAAAACTTGGTTTATTTACTTTACAGACTCTGGCGTTTGATGACGTCAATAGCTCCAGGCCCGGTGAAAATTTAAAATAAAAGATAAAAGGTAAAAAAATAATCCTGTAAATTTACAAACAATTGAAGACATTATTCAGAGTTCTTTTACATTTTAAGTTTGGCGAAAAAAAAAATCTCTTTCTCTACTGTCCTTACACAACTTCAGAATAACCTGCCTGGAATGGGGGGGGTCAAATGGCAGGGTACCCTGGAATATCCTGCCCTTGTTTTCCAAACAGTCTACGTGAAGGACAATTTTGAATTCAAATCTATGGAGAAGGCAGAAAAATAAATCATCTTTCCCCAGTACAACCAACTCAATCGAAAGATTATATTGCAAAGGAGGCTGAAGTTAACCCTGATTCTTAAGAGGTACTACAATTACAAGAGGTACTACAATTACAAGAGGTACTACAATTACAAGAGGTACTACAATTACAAAGTACAAATACAAACGACGTTATAGGATCGTTAATGATTATGCAAAATAGACATAAAAGAAAAGATTTGCAAGTTTGAAAATGTATGAATAATGTAAAATGGATGTCTAAGTTAGACACGATAACAAACACTTAACTTTTACTAGTATATTTCACTCCTTACTAGGTGCTCGTTATTTGTAGCGTTGTGCCAGACAGCGCTAATCTATGATAAGCTGTCATAGGCAAACTGCTGAACACAAAAGAAAACTATACTGATACAAAATTCTGCCGTTATTTGGTGGGGTGAAGCAGAATCGTTTTTCACATAAATATATAGACCTATTACTCTATAAGTTTTTTTGTGGGATTTCCTTTGACTTTTCAACACCTCTCAATCAAATTGTGTATTTGATCGTTAAAAATAATTTTTAATTCGATTAATTTTTCGAGGTATTTTTCGATATTCACAGGTGCTTGAAGCGCTGAAAAGCAAAAAGAACACTGGCGTGAATACAATAAATGATTAAAAAATGATATCTGGAGATATTGTTCCGTGGGATATCTGAAAATATTGTTCCGTGGGATATCTGAAGATATTGTTCCGTGGGATATCTGGAGATATTGTTCCGTGCGATATCTGAAGATATTGTTCCGTGGGATATCTGGAGATATTGTTCCGTGGGATATCTGGAGATATTGTGCCGTGGAATATCTGGAGATATTGTTCCGTGGAATATCTGGAGATATTGTGCCGTGAGACAATAGCTTAGATCTGGATATATTGTCCCGTGGATCAATAGTGTATTGGATTAAAGCGTTCGTTCGTGAATTTGGTGACATAGTAAATATGAATTCAATCCCTGGAGTGGGCTGGGCAGTGTGTACTTGGACTTTGTGGAAACAGCGTGCAATATCTGAGCAGTACTAAAAATGACTTGACGAGATGCCCCGGGACATGGGCAGCGTAACAGGAATAATCGATCCCTGTAGATTAAATAAAGTGATTTAATTCAGAATTGAAACGAATCAGTTCTTTACTGGAACTTGGTGAAGAAATTATTTTCCCATAGTTTGTAATAATGAAAACCGTTCAAAATCCAGATACAATTTCAGTCATCTTGGATTCTCGTTATAAATCCATTTTTCATCGCCATTATTTGTCCCAAAATGTCATTTTCGGGTTTTAAAGGAAAGGCAATTTAATCATTAACCCAGGATAGTTTCTGTACCTTTACGTGGAACTCATTTTCCGAGTTTCACATGATAGGCAACAGTCTGTTTCATGCTAGACACAATCGTCAGGCCAGATGATTGTGTCTCTAGCATGAAACAGACTGTCGCCTCTAAGTGTTGACTTCAATCTTCACTTTTATATATATATATATATATATATATATATATATATATATATAAATATAATAAAAAGGCTTAAACACTAATATTCCATCATTTATTATTGTTTAAGGCTTTTTATTATATCCTTACTCTGTCCTGGACATTGAGTTCTACCTGGATTCTATCCTCTTGAAATTTTTTTTTATACAAATATATATGTATGTGTATGCATGTATATATATTTATATATTTTGCATATGTATGTGTATATTTGCCACTAGTATTATCTATCTATCTATCTATCTATCTATCTATCTATCTATCTATCTATCTATCTTTCTCTCTCTCTCTCCCTATATATATATATATATATATATATGTACCAGGCTGCTAATTAAGTATACGGTAAGTATTATACCAGTATTATAATACTGTTTCAAGTATCCATTTAATGCTAGAATTCATTTTATAATGCATTTTATATTTTTATTTCCATATTTTTTATTATAATTTATATTTTTTAACAAATAATAATAATAATAAATGTGTTGCCGGTAAAATATTAAATTAATTATTGCTGCTAATTTAACAGATGAGGTGCGACAAATTGATCTTGAGCCAATGCTGGAAAACATTATTATTGATAGGTTTGTATAAGCAAGGAAATACAATACGTTTTGTGCACATGTTTTATCTTTCATTACTGTATACCTACTTTTTCACCCTTATATATATACACTATACTTCAAAAGTTTTAAGCGATCCTCATAATTAGCATGGTATGTACTTGACAAAAGAGTGAAAAAAATGAAAAGGAGTTCTTGTAACCATTGAAACGAATGGAATCAATTATCAAACTCATACTTTGAGAAATTTTTAGAACGAATGCCAAAGGTTTGTGCTGCAGTAATCAAGGCTAATGGAGAATATTTTGAAAATTTAATCATAACATTACTTTTTCTTTCTGTCATACTAAAATTTCTAATAAAAATAATGTCTCACATTTTTAACCATGTATACTAATTTTGTTTTATATAGCTGTAGTATATATATATATATATATATATATATATATATATATATATATATATATATATATATATGTATGTATGTATGTATAAATTCTTAATTTTTCTTCAAATTCATATATTGTTTTTTTGATTAAAAAAAATGTTCTAATCTTTAAGTCATGATGTATTTCATTCTTTCATAGACTTCAAACTTTTCATTTTTTTCAAGTTCAAACATGCTTGCACTTACTGCCCAAATTCCGCTCGGGTTTTTACAATTAGACATGAAGAGTAAATTTTAATAAATGTACGATTTATATTCACATATTATTGCCACTAAACTAGATTACCATTTTCAAAAACGAAATATTAAGAAGTAGACACTAAAAATGAGTTGAGACTTCTCAAAGACACTTCTAAGATTTCCCTATTATTTTGCAAAATATGATGCGACATCACACAAAACATAATTTCACAACAAAATACGAGATGTGACAATTCCCAAAATAGCCGAGTGAAATCAAAATTTGTTTGCCTGTTCCCTACTGGCTACTATGTCCTTCAAAAATCCCTAGTGAAATGGTGTACTTCATGTGACTACGATTGATTTAAACATTCTGGGAACTTCTTTTCCGGAATATATTTAAGTAATGCAGTTACATGTTGCTTGATATCGGCGATGTCAGCAAATATTTATCATTTCAGGGTATTTTTCTATTTAGGAAATATCCTCCACACCTCCGTGATTGTTGGCTAAGTTTGATGAATGAGTTAAATGGATGAGTTAGATGGACCATTTCTTATTCAGTAATTCGCCAATTGATAACGCATCAATATTCTTGATCCCAAATCTCAAAATAAAATTAAATAAAACAAAACTACAAATAAAATATAATAAAATAAAATATATAGTAAACTCAAGGTCATGACTGAAAATAATATAGACACATTTACTTGAAACAAACAAAAACTAGCCAAAACCGGTTTACATCTTTCTCGCTTTATTTCACCGTGTCCTATTTGCACAGAGCCTACGCAAAGAGGAGTACCACTGAAAATTTGCTTAAGATATAAAAATAACATTCGTTATATTGATTTTTATGTGTGTGTGTGTGTATATGTTCACACGCACACACACAAACACACACAAACAAACCTATATATATATATATATATATATATATATATATATATATATATAGGTAACGTATAAACAATAAACATTAAAATAATTGTCGGGCTTAGTCGATTTCATAAGGTATGACATGATTTGTTTAAGATCTGCTTCGAACAGATATGAGCGTTCGAGAGAAATCATGAGAAATTTGAAATTTAAAAACAGCAATTTGACCTTGCTGACCAGATGTTTCCTCTTGGATAAAAGCCGCCATCGAGGCTTTCATCCCAGCAGGAAAATATCAAGTTAAATCACGCTCATCTCCTTGGTTCTCACCTGCTTTCTCTGCCGCTATAGCCCATAAGAATCACTTCCTCCGTCTGTACCTGAGCGATATTTCTGATTGCAACAGACCGTCTCTTTGTCTCTGCTCGGAACGAATGCAAGTGTATCCTCAATGAAGCAAAGTTGCTGTTTGTCTGATAGAATGAAACAACGTATTGCATCTCGCAAGTTTGGTTCTAAAGATTACTGGAGGCTCTGCAAGAGTGTGCTGAACAACAACAAATCCTAAATCCCTCCTCTATTCAATCAATCCAAAGTCCTAACATCCACAGCTGATGAGGCTTTGTTCGGAAATTCTCATCCGACTCAACGTCGACTTATCCGGAGTACCCACACCTGATTCCTCACCCCCTAGAACTGAGGGTCTACTGAGTGAGACGTGCATAACCCCGTCGATGGTATTGGACATCATCTCTAAATTACACTCTCGTGAAGCAAGTGATGGTGACTGGATACCAGCCGTAGTCTTAAAAAAATGTGCTCCTAAGCTGGCTCCAGTTTCTCCAAACTATATAACTATTAACTCACTGACTCTTGCTTTCTAGCTAGTTGGAAGTCCTCATCTGTTGTCCATGTCTTTAAGAACTCTGGAGGCTCTTCTGGTCCATTTAACTGCCGTCCTATTAGTCTCTTACTACTCTTCGGCAAAGTCTTCGAGGCTTTAATCAATGTCAAAATGGTTAAGCATCTTACCTCCCACAATCTATTCTCTGACAAACAATATGGTTTCCGCTTTCTCCGGTCTACCGCTGGTGAGCTTACGGCCATAACTGAATATATATACCAAGCTCTTGATAATAATGCCAAAGCTCGAGCTGTGACTCTAGATATCTCGAAAGCGTTTCACAGGGCCTGGCATGCCGGCCTTCTACGTAAGCTTCAGAGATACGGCATTACACGACGATTATTTGATTTAATCCAATCATTCCTGTCTAACCGTTAAATGAAGCTTGTTCTGAACGGGTTCTCTTCCAGTTCCTTTTATACGGACGCTGGTGTTCCCCGAGGCTTTATCCCGGATCCTACACTGTTTCTGATCTTCATCAATGATCTTCCTCATATCATCAGTTCTCAAGAAGCCATCTACGCAGACGACACTGCCATTTACTCCTGTCTCAATATCAAAATCTGGCATTGCTGACAAAGTTAACCAGGCCGTTGGTGTGGAAATGGACCTCCAATCTGTGGATGACTGGGACAGGAAATAGCTTGTAAATATGAATGCCACCAAAACGAAACTGTTCTTATTTTAACCACCATAGAGAAACCTCCCTGTCCTCAATCAGCATGGCTGATGCTCAACTTCAAGAGAGCGTCTCTCTGCGCCTTCTTGGTCTCATGTTTTCTTCTGACCTGAGGTGGAACAATTACATAGAATCAATAGCTGAATCTACTGCAAGGAAAGTTGGTTCTCTGTGTCGCGCCAGTAGATTTTTCTCGTCTAACACCATTCCTTTACATCTACAAATCTACCTTTCGTCCTTGCATTGAATACCGTTGCCATATATGGTCTGGTGGCCCCGATGTTCATTTCGAGGTTCTCGACAAAATCCAAAGATGGATTTGCAATATGGTCGGTCCTGACTTGGCATCTCGACTCTAGTCATTTTCTCACAGACGTGATGTGGCTTCCCTCTGTCTTTTCTACAAATATTTTCATGGCAACTGTTCTGACGAGCTATTTTCACTGGTACCCCCGACTGCATGAATTTAAGCGTGCTACTAGGTTGGCATTCCGGTCTCACCTTTTTACTGTTAAAATAGTTAAATGTAACCGCCACTTCTACTTCAACAGCTTATTTCTCTTACACTTCCCGACAGTGGAACTTCCTTCCTCTTACTTGTTTCCCTGATAACTATAATCATCAAAAATTTAAATCTAATGTCAATCGACATCTTCTGATTCCTTGATCCCAGTTCTTCTTTTTATCCTTTCGCTCCCCCCAATATCCAGTCCTTTCTCTTACTTTCACTCTCTGGAACTTCTTGCGTATTAATGGTACTCCCGCCTTGATTGGGGTGAAATGATTATAAAAACATTAAATTGGTATACGTGACTAGTTTTTCCTGGGTCCGCTAGAAATTTAGCCGACAAGCATTTTTGTCAAAAATTTAAAAGCAACAATTTTCCCAGAACCCAGAAAGACCAGGAAAGATACACACATGTCTAAAGTTCTCTTCTCGGAGAATTTTGTTTTTGTGAGAAGTGAGTGTAAAAAAACACTTCAGTCGATTAACTCTATATCCAACGCCATTTTCGATATTCTGTAACCAAATCAATTCATTTTTTCTTTCCCTGTACAATTTCTTTGTAACGTTATTTCGAGAAAATTCTCAACACATTTTCTCTGGTAAGGGAATATTTGCAGCAGACAAAACATAATTTAGACATGGAGATAAGAAATTAAAGCAAAATTTATACAATTTTCGTCTAGCTAAATCACAAACACGTCGCACTCTACTCAAAACAAAATTTAAAGTAAACACAAATATACTAAAGTGCTGACCATTATCGACGCGACTCTCGGTTACCACAGATATCTACAACTACGTCCGTGCGTTTGGCTTAAGTAGTCTATAAGAAAAACCGAGCAGTACAGAGAGCACGGAGAAAGAGAGAGAGAGAGAGATATATACAGAGACTTCACACACACACACACACACACACACACGCTAACAATAGAGGCTACCCAAGAGCACGGCTGAATGTCCGTCTGATGATTAGGTTGTGAAAATGACTTCCTGTGAACACCGAAAGACAACATACTCCACTATCAACACGACAGGCCTAAACCGATATCCAACAAGAAGCCAGCCTGTTTAAGCTTACTCCTTTTCCACGCTCTCACATCACAGCTTGTACACCTGACATTCGATTGCTACACTATACGACTTACCAGAGACATTTTTATACCTAAATAAATCTATGGTCATTTCTCCAAACCAGTGTCTAATTTGTTTCTTTCCTCCATAACCAATTTCCATCTTGGGTCAAAATTAGTCAGAGCGTTAAGTAAATTCAACAATCGTTTATAATTTGACTTCCATAAAATAAAGTTTCCCTCTTTTGTTGGCGTATGAAAAATATATATTTATATATCAAACTTTTATATTTTAATCTTTACTAGCAGAATTAAAAAATAAAGTGAAATGGACACAACTTGAGGGAAGTCAATACATTTTGATTAGTCGCATAGTTTATCACGTAAACACTTAATGCAGCCATTAAAAAAAGCCATTAAAAATTGCTGATCGTAACACTGATTGCATATCAATCTTTCAAGTGTAAACATCTTCAAATAAAAAAAACAAAAAAAAAGCAAATATATTAAAATAATAATTTTGTGAAGTGGAATGGGGGGAAATTGTATGACAAAGTAAAAAAAAAGTTTACTTTTGAAACGTTTCGTCCTTCATGGCTTCGTCGGATTAGGTATGCAGAAAATAGAAAAGAACAAATTGGGTGCATAATCCGGAGTTCCTTAGTATTTTTGTTTTTATTTTTAAGAAGACAGTGCTCCATACAGAAGTAGAGCTTTATTATAATATTTTTTTGTTTAAAAATATGATTCCTTCGCTACATAAGAGTTCTCATGTTTCAAAAACGAGAGCCAAAACCATCCAAATAATTATTAAAATTAAGTTGAATTGAGGTGTTTAGTCCCGTTTCATCTTCAAGCGATAAGTTTACTGTTTAATAAATAAACGTAGCGTCTACTCAAATATAGGTATCCACGTAAATAACGTTTAAGTAATTATATATATATATATATATATATATATATATATTATTATTATTATTATTATTATTACTTTATTATATTATATATATATATATATATATATATATTATTTATATATATATATATATATATATATATATATATATATATATATATATATATATATATATATATCAGTGTGTTTTTATGTGTGTGTGATTTAAAATTTCCTATATTTATAGGTAGAGTTCTTATTATCTGACATATGACCTAAAGATCGGTTGAGGCACACAAACTGATTCACCATGCATCATTGATTTCTATGTGCACATTATCAATCTCTCTCTCTCTCTTTCCCTTTACACACACAGACACAATCACACACACATACACACATATACTATTATTAATTATTATCTCTTTAATATTCACATTTCACATGCATATAAGCCTCTTCTCCTACTAACATATAAAAAGGCGTCAAACTGCACACGTCCTCCCTAATATACATATGGAGTCGCGTGCGTATGTGTGTGCTGAATAGTAAGAGCGATGTCTAAGATAAACTCTTTAGCTAACTGAGTCAACGGACAAAGAACACCGAAGAAAGCCGTACGCACTTTTGGCCCGACCGTTGAATTAAGCACTGATCCATCTTAAACCCCCACCCCCACTGAAGTAGGTTCGAATACTCTGGAGTATTTACCGGTCAATTGCAGGTCATTCGTTTCAAGTGGTCAGAGCCGACGATATGGAAAACAAAAAGAAATACATCTTATTTCCGGGACCGCTAAAGCGCATGCGTGCGTCGTCGGCTTAGCGGCATATGGCCGGGAGAAAATGGTTGCAGTTATTCTTTAATTCACCCAAGGATTTTAAGCGCGTTTGACCAGTGGCTGATGGCCCGTTCCAGAATCTCTGGATTGCTGGCCTTCATGGCTGACCAGTTAATTTTGTCTCACTGCTTCAAGACGGTTTATAAACGGGGGAGCTTTGTACACAACGAGGGATATCATTAGCGATTGGTGAAGGCCCTAATCACCGGGTGCATTCGCGAAATAAGCGCTCGATGGCGAATGTCATTATATCAATTCAAGGAGGAAGCGGTCAAGCGGTTAAGAGAACAGACGAACTGACAGGGTGACAGAAAGACAAGGCCAAGAGGCGGAGAAAGGTTCAGAAAAATGGTCGGACAGACAGAGAATACAAAATGTCCAACGATAAAATGAGTGGCAGAATAGACGCAGACAAACAGACAGAAAAAAAATATGAATGCACTTATTGACAGTAGAATGATCAAATATATTGGACGATGGCGAAAAACGATAAAAATTGGCGAATGAAACGTTCGAAAGGAAAAATGAACAGAACGTCATAGATGAAAAATCACTTAGTAAATTAGACTCAAAGAAAGACCAGCTTTATGGCAAAAAAAAAACCTCGACAAGTGATGCGAAAAGTATGGTGGACCCAGAAATATGACTTCGACGGTTGTAAGAGTGAAATGAACGCCCAGTTGTACCTCGCATTTTATAAGTTCGCTTGATGCAGTATTATTTTTATGAAAAAAAAAAACAGCTGAGATGAGCAGATTTTCTCCGCTATCCGAAATAGTGTAAAAACCGAATAAATACCGGCAATGCTTAACCTTTGTACCAGCAAAAAATGGTGTTAAAAAGACAACTATTTCTTTAACACCGTCATTACACCGTTTGTTGTTTTTTGTAAAAAAATTTTTATTGTTTTGACAATGTTTATTTACAAGACGATAAAAATACGTGAACTAAATACAATGCAATATTTATTATTTACCTTTTATAAAGAAACAAATTTGAAAAAAAAACTTTCTTATTCAAAAATTTATTTAAAAAATTAGAAAATTATCAAAATAACGATAATGCAATATTTGCAGGTAAAATTACAAATATTCTATAATTAAGCACAAGAAAAAAATTGCCCAGCCAATGAACAGAGGGATACACACTTAAAATATTGAGTTTTTGTGATCTGGCTAAAAATCTAAAATTAAAAGAATGCTTAATCCAGAGAAAGAGATACTGAAAAGCTATTTAGTGAATTTATGTGGCAAATGAAAGAAATGCCAGAAAATTTCATTATTTTTCAAAATTCGTCGTTTGTTTATTTCAATTTTCTTCTTCACAGACATTTTTATATATTTATGAACAAAAATGTTTCTTTTCATATCTATTTCTTTGTAAAATGGAAAATAATAAATATTTTATCATAGTTGATTCACATATTTTTTTAATCTTGTAAATATAAAATTATTCTTATAAATGAACAATCTAATAACTAAATGGTGTTTAATATTTTTGTTGTCACTTCTCATGAATAAAGAAAATGTATAAATCCACAGTAACGAGGGAGTAAAAGAAACGATGTAAAAGCGGTGTGAATGAAATAATATTCCTTAAGACATACTTTTTTTAAACACGAAGGTTAAACACTGCCCAATTAATTTAGATAAAAAAATATTATAAAAGTTTCCAGACACAAAATTAATTTCTGTTTTTGTCGAAAGTCGAAATTTGTCGTCTGAGTTGACTAATAAGCAAAGCTTGAAAATTAACAGAATGCTTAAGGTTTAAACTTTACGCATTTTCTATGATACAATTCTGCTCTAAAAATGTCCTTTCAAAATTAAATAATGCCTTCCTGCAGTGATTACTAGATGACTGGAGCCTTACTGCAGATCTCTCTTTTGATCTTACTCTACCAGTTCAATGGTGGAAACTGTATGGAAACTGTATACCTCAAAAACTAATCTAGTATCATTTCATCATCACACATCAAACGTCCATTTTTCTGCTGTCATAATGAACGGTTGAGTGGCGAGATGGGGGTTTCAAGTTCACTGCAATACTCAAGTGGATTTCATATATACAACCGATTACTAAAAATGCTGGGAAAATGCCCATCTCCTTGTACGGCTCAGAAATGTACCTGACTGCTTCATTTTCATTATGAACGGCTAGCAATAATACCCGGCGTTGTACGGACCAAGTCTCTTTCCTGTGTTTCGAGGTTATTTAACGAGAGATTTGCGAAGGCCATAAAATTTTATTAGTGAAATTGTAATTTCACATACAGCACGTTATGATAATTTATAATATTTATTAAGTTTTCAAAAAATAATATTAAAATATCAGCATTGTTTAGTTCAATAAGGCTGTTAAATCTTCATTTTACGCTAGACCTCAAGTGGAATTTATATATATAACAACCAGTTTGTTCCTATCTATCTATCTATCTATCTATCTATCTATCTATCTATCTATCTATCTCGGTCTATTCAGTATCTATCTATCTATCTATCTATCTATCTATCTATCTATCTCAGTCTATTCAGTATCTATCTATCTATCTATCTATCTATCTATCTATCTATCTATCTCAGTATGTTCAGATAGCCAGCTTGCTATTTAGCTAGCTATCTGAATTTTCTCCAGTAACAATAAACGGTTGCGCTGTCAAAGAGGCTCCATAAACGTTCAAGTCTATTGGGACTCAAAGTCACTCTGGACATTAAGTGGAACACATATAGCCGATCCATTGCTAGAAAAATGCTCAGATCATTTTATCGCCCCCGGAAGTAGGTGGTTCCTTCTGGTTATATTTGCAAGGGTCAGATTAGACCAAAAATGGAGAATTACTGTCACATCTGGCCTGGATCTGCTCAATCTTCCCTTTAAAGTTTTGATAGCTTTCAAAATTAACGTGGTCTTGTGCGTGAAGCGTTATTTCCCACTCTACAGCCTCTTTCCCCACATCGCCTTTCTATTTCGTGTTCAGATGAGCTTCACTCTTTACTTCCCCCAGCCAGTACAGACCTTCATTCCATAGACACGTTGTGACACTTCTATGGAGTCGAATCACCCTCATTTTCCCTCTGTATTCCAAAGTTCCTTACAAAGAGAAAGTTCCCCATTTTTTCTTCTTTTTTTTTTTTTTTTTTTGTTGTTGTTTGTAAAAACTGATACCGGTGGTTGAGTGGTTAGAAGGTTTACTTTCCGACCATGAAACCAGGGTTCGAATCTCATCACGGTCGATTTTTCCGAAAGGTGACTTCTTGATGTTATCTGCCTGGGGAGGTGATCCCAGCTGGCGGCACCTTTTGGAATGTTCTTGAAAAACATACCAGAGGATGACCAAAATTTTGTAAGGAAAATTGGTTAGGCGGAAATATTTGGGAGATGTCGATGGCTGTGTTAGCATGAAGTCACAAGTCATCGTGACTGAGCGATTGAGCGTGCTGTCCTTGTTTAGACTGTTGACCCCACCAGATAATGCCTTCTCTTCCAGAAACTGTAATTAAGATCCGCTCAGCATAGTTCCAGTATAAACCACAGGTGGGCTCTATGGGAGTTGAAAAAACACGAATGTGCCTGAGCAAGTGTCTACAATAGGGATTGGCTAACCGCCATAATAGACAGGAATACTCGGATACGATCGGCCAGTCATTATATATATACTTTGCCGAAATCGTTATCTATCCTCCTTATCCTCATAATCATCACTTCCTACGATATCCTCTTACATTGATATCACGCACCACATTCAGTAACGCACCGTCAGTCACAACAAAAATCAAACGAAAGGTTATTTTGTAATGTGAGAAGGCATGAAATTCGTGCACTTCTTATAGATTAACAATAATGGAGGCTGCATTCTTGGGAATTATAGCTAATGAAATAATTCCTCAGAATTTGCTTCTTTCAGAGAGCGCTGGGAAATCTGTCCAAGAATTTGTAATTTTTGTAAACTCTGTTTCCAAATGTCGTTACGTATTTTAGTAGATATGAAATTGATATTTCTGTAAGTCCTTGTCATTATTATCTTTTCACGTGTGTGATTTTGATTGGCAAATATGATGACATACCTAGATGTCGCATTCGCCTATTTGTTGCCCCAAAAACCAAGTCTAGGAAGCCATTCCATAGTTCAAGAAAAAGCCAAACCACGGCTAATTTAAGAAAGAGGTCTTGCTTGGAATTGAGTAGACGACAACTATCTCTCCCTCTCTCTCCATCTATCTATCTTTCTATCTCTCTCTCTCTCTCTCTCTCTCTCCCTATATATATATATATATATATATAGAGAGAGAGAGAGAGAGACAGACACAATACTACATCTATAATACTAAAACTCTAATCTTGTATGTATGTGGGTTCCGGAGATACAGCTTAAACGATACATAATAGCCCATTTTTCGGTTTAAACGACATTTTTAATAGGAAATTCAGTATTTGTTTCCGATACACATTCTTATATCAATCAAACACTTGCATATTGTATTCCAATTATTATGTTTGTGAAAAATAATGAACAGGCATAATACATTATAATAACATTCTTAACTAAATTTAAATATACATAACACAATATATCTTTATACCAAACTAGATTAGAACTTTTTTACAAATTAATATGTCGGATGTTATGTCTAACTACTTGTTAGGTAAAGACGCTATGTGAGTGTGTCATTGTAAAACGTAATCTGTATGGATGGAAAATTGTGTCACATTACTTGATGGTAAATGAATAAATAGATGCACGCTGGTTTGCCGCCGTTACGTCTTTTGAAATAAATGTAAGGCAGAAAAATATATGTATAATAAATAAACAATTGTTAATTATTATTGCATATGATATATGTAATATTGTATAACGTGAATAATAATAATTATTACAATAATTTGTATTGCAACTACAAACTAAAATATGTGTAATTAATAATAAAATTGTTAATATTGTTACCTCATCAATTTGTATCATGAAGTGCTTTTAAAAAGTGATCTAGTTCAATATAAAATTTCTTATAACCCTCGACTTGATTCGACTCACTGTGACACAAAAAACAAACTGAGAGAGAAAAACTGTGGTAGTATTCAGTTTATTTGCACTCCTGCTTGCTTAATGAAACTTAACAAGTACATTTTCTCTTCTTAATCCCCTCCCCCAACAATAGGAATTAAATGCTTTGAAGACCTGTTTTTGTTATTCTATGTCACGTTTAGACGATTATCCTCACCTTTGTTGTTTTTAACAAAATCTCGTTCAGCCTTTCTCACTATTAACAGGCGATGCTACATGATTCTGATTTGCTGCTCAATTCTAGTTGAAAAGATATAAAAAAAACAGAGCAAAGGAAGCGCATACTGAATTCTAAAATCGTAGACAAAACACATGAGGAAGATTGAAAATGTATCATTTGAAGGGTATTATAAAAAAAATAAACAAAATAGTGTAGCTACAATATGGACTAATATAGGGTCAAGTTAAATACGGTGTATGAAGAGAACTAAAAAAACATTCGGACTACAGTCGAAAGTGTGTCAAAGAAAGTTCATGCTAACATAATATCGAGGTGTTTGTGGTGAAGGGGAAAACAAGTTTCGTTACTTCTGTTGATACCCTAAAAACTTGCTTTGTTTACATTTTACTTAATCCACCGTTGACAGACAGAATGGAAAACTGATACACAAATTCACAGTGAAAGTTAATAACAAGTTAAAAAAAGCACTTTGAAATTGAATCACTAAATAAACAAAAATAGACGCATGTCGATCGACAAAGTGTCAAGCAGTAACAAATGAAAGGCCATACTTTTTAATCGACTGCCTTTGTCAACATGCATGAATTGAATGAGTATTAAATAAAGTGAAGCAGCGTGAAAAGATGAAATTTAATTAATGAACAGGTTTTTTTAAAAATAGAAAAAAAATGGTAACTGAATAGAAAAGTGGTGAAATGTTTTTTAGAACGATGTTCATTCTGTACAAGGGTCAGGCAGCTACTTATTGTAGAGGGTTACAGAATAAAGGGTATACAGCGTAACCCGGATGTAAGAGAGTTGTCGGGACCGAAGAAGAAGTCTCTTATATCTGGGTTTCTCTTATATCCGGGTTTGGTCTATTTTATATACATTAACACAGGCTCTAATTTGGGACCAGAGAAAATCTCTCTTATACCCGGGTTTCTCTTATATCCGGGTCTCTTATATCCGGGTTACACTGTACTTTATGTGGGGAAGATAACGGTTAGCCCTACTTGAACAATATTGTAATGAAAGCATTTTCTTATGTCGTTTCCATAGAGCAACTTTTCGTGGGAAAAAGTTCGTTTGGAACCTACATCTCACCAAAGGAATACGAAGGTAATGAAGATGGTCTGCTATAATGGGTGTGGCATGACAGGCCTTTGCCGTGAAGGTAACAGCTGGAGGAACTAAGGAATGTAGTTTGTCTGAACACTTTCGATGGAAATAGCGATAGAGCTGTGAGAGGTTTACAACGTGTTGTTTATGAGAGAGAGGTTGTAGGGAGGGAAATAATTTGTCACGTCCAACGGGGATGCTTTTTGACGCTATTGAGAGTGGAAAGTGAGGCGCTGGTAGATGAATTCTGTAAGAAAAACCTCAGAGACAAACCTGACTAAATATATAGTCAAATAAACTTACTTTATTAATTGATTAGTGCACATTTACGAAACATCTTTACTAATGTACACAAATGCTGAAGCATGAACATAGATAGATCTCCTGTGTCAAATAATTCCTCATAGCCTGACCCTAACAGGTGCTACCACCTCAGGTTAGGGTGGACCTGGGAACACCAGCAATTAAGAGGTGGTTCCACGCTCCTCAAAACCTCCTGATCAGAGGCCTTGCTGTCGGATGTAGTTTATCGTCTTACCCAGGACAGTTCGGAAGGATACTGAGATTTCCATGGATGAGGCGAGTAATCTACAAGGAAGTCTTAAAGAAAATGTCAACAAAAACCTATTGATAGAATCAGGAAGAGATAGCAGAAAATTCTTTGGACATATAATGTGGAAGGAGGACTTCGAAAACTTAACCCTCACAGGGCATATTGGGAGCAAGAGAGATAGAACAGGGCGGTGTGACGTTGGCCTTCTTCTTCTTATGTGCAGTGTCCCTTCAGGACATAGGTGATTATGGCCCTCCACATCTTCCTGTCCCTTTTAGCGTTTAATAAGTTTTGTTTGTTTTGTGCCCCAAACTTTGTTCTGTCATGCATTTGCTGAAACTCATCAAATATGTTACTCGATGTTTTCCGTTGTCTCTCTTTTCTTTAATCTGCTCTGTGAGTGTCAGGTTTTCCTAGCCCGCCTTTCTCATCATAGGTCTGTATAAATTCCCTCTTCGTTTCCATTCTCTTCAAAATCTCGTCGTTGCTCACATGTTCGGCCCATGGTATCTTTAGCATCCTTCTGTAGAACCACATTTCTGTTGCTTCAAGTCTCTTCTTCATCTTTGAGGAGGTTGTCCAGTATTCGCTGGCATATAGGAGGACAAATACTACACAACACTTAAGTACTCTTTTCTTTGTTTCTAACAAAAGTTTTGTCTCTTAATACACTGCTTAGCTTTTAGAAAGCATCTTTCTTCATCCCAACACGTCTTCGGATCACAGTGTCGCACTTTCCGTCCTCTGTACTTGTTTGATTTTTATTATACCCGATTTGTAATTTGCATTTGGGCTCATCCTTTTGCTGATAACCATGCTTTCTTTTTGTAGTTTATACTTAGTCCTTTCTTCTCGCTTTCCTTCGCTACCTTCAGTAGAAGCTGTGGTAGTTTTCTTTCCATGTCTGCTATCACCACTATATCAGCTGCATATCTTATATTGTTAAGATTCTGGCTGCCAAAAATGCATCCTGGTAGGACTTCTAGCCCTCTCAGAATTGCTTTACTATATAAGTTGAATAAATTCGGTGAGAGGACATATCATTGTCTTACACCCCTTTTGATTTCTGCTGGAGTCATTTTCTGTCCGTATGCAGGCGGTTTGTTGCCAGTATAATGTCTTGATTATTCGAATGTCTTTCCCGAATATGTCGGTGTTGTTGAGCAACTCTAACAGATCTTCGTGACGTACTTTGTCAAGCACATTCGCGTAGTCTATAAAACACAGGTGCACGTCCTTCTGCATTTATATTGCTCTTTCTGATAACATTTTGAGCATCAATATCGCGTTCCTTGTTCATGTGCCTTTGACGATTTCGCACTGTTCGTGTCCGATCTCTGGTCTGATTCTGCTGAAATCTCTATTCATCAGAATTTGGATGATGAGTTTTGTTATGTGAGCTGATTGTACGATGGAATTCACATTCGTTTCGCCTGTTTTCTTAGGCAGTGCTATGAAAATGGATTTGTTTAGATCTTCTGGTATTTCACCACTGTTGTAGACTGATGTAATGAATATGCATACACCTGGGCTCCCCCTCACAGTAATATGATTGGCTGGTGTCAGCCATAAATACAGACTGATATGGACTACGCCTATAGTCTTCGCCTATTGCTTACGCCTACTGCCTACCACTACGACGAGGACCAGCCCATTACGGTTACCTGCTAGATTGTCCTACCCGGTTACAGTAGTCAGCAACCACTTTACTACTTCGAACAAATATATCCCTTTCCGGAACATATCATAGACTTTATTTATTATTTCGGTGATCTTTTCTATGCCTAAAGATGCCAGAACCTCTGTTTTCAATTCCGTCTAGCTCTGCCGCTTTGTTTCTATTCAATTTGGCCAGGGCAGTTTCTACTTCAGTTTTTAATATTTCCGGTATGTCTGTATTTCTGTGTATTTCTGGTTGTTCTCTTTCGTTGTGGGAGATTGCTCCGATATATTCGTTCCATCTCTGAATATTTTTCTTTCTTTAATATCAGCGTTGCGTCCTTGGGTTTTATGCAGCCTCTTGATTTTGTCCTCTTAGTTCCTTTATTTTTTATTCATATCTCCTTTATCTGTGATACTCATTCTTTCTATTTCTGTACATTTTTCATTGAGCCATTCCTCTTTAGCCTGCCTGCATTTGTTCCTTATTGCTTTGCGTAGATGTTGGCATTAGCAAAGAGAGAAAAACTGCTAACGGCCATAAAGGATAAAAAATGACGGTGAATCATGATCATCCATGTCCTGAAGGGACGCGGCATATAGAAGATGAGACAATGTGTCGAGATTGGCCATTCGATTCCATATGATCTGATTTGCTTTTACCTAACTCAAAAAGTTCGCATTTGTTTGCCATAAGGGCACGCTATCAAACCTTACTTGGAAAGGATTGTCACCAGTGACAATCATCATACTCAGCGAAAGTGAAAATCGTTATGACCCACGGAAAAACCAGTGCTTGTATGAAAAGTAGGATTACTCTCTGAGAAGTAAAAGTTCTGTGTTTGATGGGATATGAAGTCTGTTGATCATGTAGCGTTCAAGTGTAATGAAAGATTTAATTCTGAGTGCTACTGTCATCAACTGGAATCTCTACGTTAGTTGAAAATTTAAATTTGTGAAAATCATAGTTGTCAGAAAAACAAAGAGGAGAAGCGTGGAGAAGAAACAGTTAGCATAGAACTTGCGTTTACAAGTCGCAATTTCAACAGAGAAATTATGAGACCTTGCTGCCATCTGGTGCCGTGCTCTTGAAGTCAAGTTATGAAAGAGGACAGCTGATGAGAACAATTAAATTCGTATAGTCAGGGCACCAGGGAAAAAGGTCGCCAGACAGAGCAGTTGTTATGAAAATATTTGAAGAAAAGACCAAAGGAAGCCACGTCACATTGGTGAGAATGTGACTGAAGTCGATATGCCAGGTCAGGGTCGATTATATTACAAATCCTTTTTGGATGTTGTCAAGAATTGCAAGATGTACAGCAGGAGCTTCAGAACAGATAGGGCAACAGTATTTAATGCATAGACGAATGGTATATTTATAGATGTGCAAGATGGATTCTGAGAAGAAAAATTTTCTGGCACGACATTGTGATCCAAATTTCCTTGCAGTAGATGCAGCTATTGATTCGATGTAGTCGTTCCACTTTCAATCAGTGGAGAATATGAGGCCAAGAAGACGCAATGTGTTGCTATACTGGAGTCTAGCGTCTGTATGTAGTAGGAGGGTTCTAATTATGTCCCTTTCAAAATTTTTCCACTTTGTCATTCAACTACCTAACATTGCTTTGATATATAAAAATGTATATATAATATTCTCCCATGTACAAAAGTTTTATACACACGCGCACCCAAATATCTATACGTTTCGAAAAATGCGAAACTGATCAAATAGGCGTGTCACTGATACATGAGAAAAATCAGAACGTGTGAATGTGCTTTAAAGGCAAAATAAAACCTCGCTTAGTCGTGAAGCTCTTCGTAGCCGAGCGGTCAAAGCACGCCGGTAGTTCCTTCTTCAAAGCAGGTTCGAATTCTACCGAAGGTTAAATTTTCTTTATTAAGTTTTCATGAGTACGCTGGTCGGTTGACGAAATAAATTAACCAGTTAAATACCATACGGTGATCATGTCTTGATTCATGACTGACTAGGCAGAAGATATTCCCGCAGTAGGTTGTCGTTTCTTTCTGCTTTAGACTGGTTGCCAACCATGACTATAGGACCCAGTCAGTCCTGCTATTCTATCCCATAGCTAGAAGAGATGGATTCATACCTTTCCCAAGGGCATTTGTGCGTAAGTGAATATAATAAACTCGACTGGAATTCGAACTCAGCTCTCCGAGTTCTCATTACAAGCTGATATCTATCACACGACACAACACATTCAACGAAATAATTATTGTTTAAAATAAATGGAGCTTTATACTCAAATACACCGGATCTGACGATGGTTCCTGCTGCAAAGTGGATACATGTTCGAAACCTGCTGGTGGGCAGGTCAGCTTTATTAAATTTTCTCGAGTACCTAGGGCGGTAAACAAAATAAATACTGTATCAAATAAACAGAGCGTCTACTCAAATACCGGTATCCGCTAAAAATAACGCTTGAAGTAATATATATATATATATATATATATATATATATATATATACACACACATTTGGTGTGCCACTTAAGTTTCAATAAGCAATAAGCTATATCTTGTGCCTGACGAGTAGGGTAATCAACGAAACAAGTCGCACAACAAACATAGGTATATGTGTATTTATTAGCATATATTTCTTAGCTCTGGCTAAGCATATCGAGCACTATAATGTCTAGACCTATTGGCAAAATTTAGTAATTATTTATTTGCTTACCAGCGTATGCTCGGCAGCACGCATGTATACGGTCGCTAATATCTAGTTATTTCATTTACCTAAGTATATATATATATATATATATATATATATATATATATAGGCTGCATGTCTTCATTCAAATATTTTTATCGTTGTTTCCTTTTTCTTTCTTTGTTTTTTCATCCTTTCTCACCATTTCTTTTTTCCATTTTTATCGTTCTTTCTTTTTTTCTTTGTTTCATTGAATAATATAGATACATTATGACATTTACTTTTACAATAATCCTTTCTCGTTCACTAATCAGTTTCTTGATGTTAAGATGAAATTCAACAAGAAAGGCGCCGTAGTTTTTTTTGTTTTTTTTTTTTCTACCCAAGTACTTTCGGTCTTCTCCGAGATCATCCTCAAGGGTGAATTGCAAAGACAAACTTATTGTAACTGAGATCGTTGTGCTGCTGATTTTTAAAAGCACCCGTGAACGCGCTCTGCTACTCTGCTATATATATATATATATATATATATATATATATATATATATATATACTAGATAAGGGCCACTGTGCCACATTTGTAAATGTCAACATTGTAAATATTGTTTCATACACACATTATATACATAGGTGTGTATGTGTTCGTGCGTTCACGAGCGTGTATTTCTCTGTTTGACTGTCTGTCTGTAACGCAATTGCCAAGATTGTTGAAGGCTTTTAATATTGGCCAAAGTGTTCCGATAAGAGCAAAGGCCGATGATTCGTTAGAAGGAAAATAAACAAACGAAACTTCATGTTTTCATTTCCAACACAGAAACACAGTCTCCAAATTTGGCTGTCCCATCGAAACACTGAAGATAGTTCGTGTCGGGTTGCCTGTAGGCGTCGCATCCGTCTACTCAGCCCAAGAGAAGCTAGCTCTCTCTCTCTCTCTCTCTCTCTCCTTTCTCGGTGGTCGGCTATCAGGCACTGACCTCGGGGCGGTTCACTGCCTCAAAAAGACATGCTACGTCGCCATGATGGATGGTCCATGTGCCTGAGACTCGCAACATGTATCATTCATCATTTTTCTTGATTGCCATCTATCTGTGACTCTTTCTCAATCATCTTCGTCTCCTGTGATCGCTTTTTACCTCACAAACCTCCACTGCCAAGTCACCTTTTGCTTCTCTTTTCGATTCTTTCTTTCGGCCTTCAATGTCGTCGCTCTGTTATTTACTCTTTGCTTTTTCTCCTTTCAACCAATTACACATACAAACGCACACGCATATAGATGTATGCCAGAATATATACTCACAAAAATACGCATAGACATATATATACACGCACACATGCACACACATACTCGCTTACAACTATACCCATGTGTGTGCGTGTATGTGTTGATGACATCTATTTTCGATACTTGTCTTTTTTTTTAATATATTTATTTTCTTTTTTATCGGTATTTATTCTTTAATATTTTCTGATCATTTTTCTTGTTTCGTCTTTCTTTCTTTTTTTCTTTCTTTTTTCACCCTTTCACACCACTTCTTTTTCCTCTTTTTACCGTTCTTTCTTTCTTTTTCTTTTTTCAGCCTTTCTTAGGCACTTCTTTTTCCACTTTTTATCGTTCTTTCTTTCTTTCTTTTTTCACTGTTTTTCACCCTTTATCACCATTTCTTTTCTTTCTTTTTTCATCATTTCACGCCTCTTCTTTTTCATTTTTTAAAATTTAATGCAATTTCTTAAAATATTTTTTAGTTTTTTCTTCTTCCATTTTTTCTTTATTTTTCTATTTTCTTCATTCCTTCCTTCTCTGCTTTTCTTCATTCTTTCATTTTCTTTCATTTTTCTTATTTGCTCTTCCTTGCTCCATTCTTTCTCTTTTTTAATTTTTGCTCTTTGCCTTTTCATCTGCTTACTTTATTTCCTTCTTTTCTTCCTTTTTTCATTTCCTTCCTTCCTTCCTTCCTTCCTTCCTTCCTTCCTTCTCCTATGATCAATTTCTTTCTTTCTTATTTTTCGTTCTTTTTATCTTCTCACTTCTCTTTCTTCCTTCTTTCCTTCTTTTCTTCCTTCCTTTCTTCTCCTATAATCAATTTCTTTCTTTCTTAGTTAATATTTTCCTTTCTTTTTATCTTCTCACTTCTTTCTTTACTTGCTTCCTTCTTTCCTTATTCTCTTCCTTCTTTCCTTCCTTCCTCCCTTCCTCCTTTTCTCCCTTCCTTCTTTACTTCCTTCATCTTTTCTTTCCTCTCTTCCTCCTTTCTTTCTTTCTTTCTTTCCACCCTTCCTTCTTTCCTTCCTTCCTTTCTTTATTTTCTGCTCACTTTGTTTTTTTTTCCTTCGTTTTCTCAATTTTTCCCTCTGCTTTTTATCTGTTCTCTTTTGCCCTTTTTTTTGCCATTTCCCCACTTTACGCCTTTTTCAGTATTTCATTCACATCTCCTCACCGTTTTCCTTTCTTTTCATCTAATGAATTTACTTTCTTCCTTTCTTTTTCCTCATCTACTCTCTTTCTTTCTTTCTTTCTTTCTTTCTTTCTATTATGTTCTTTCTTTCTTCTGCTCATTTGTTTTTTCTTTTTCTTTTTATTACTTGCTCTTTTTCTTTCATCGCCCAAAATTTTAACCTTTCTTTTATTTTCTCTTCCTTTATTCACTGATTTATGACTAACATTTCACAAAATTGTTAAATTTGTATTTTTATTATTTTTCCTCTGATTTCCTTCATGTTCACGTTTTTCGTTCGCATCTTCTTCACAATACTTCATCGCTAACACTCATTCATCTATTTTCTTTTATTCCTTTATTGCCATTCATAATTTTACACATTTCTTCTTTCTACTTCTCTCTCTCTCTCTCTCTCATTCTCTCTCTCATTCTGTCTCTCTCATTCTCTTTCTCTATCTCTCTCTTACTAATACTTCTTCACGAATTTGACATTTTTCCTCTTCTTCCTCTCTTTCCTTCCTTCTTACTATTTTCCTTTTCTCTGACTTCCTTTCTAATTTACCTTTCTTTCTTTCTCTCCTTCCTTTATATATCCATCCCTAACCTTCAGCATCCCACTGGTTTATCAGCCTCTCAAAATCCCTATCATACATTTCCTTCACCGCCCCGCGTCATATCGAACTTATATCTACCTATCCCATCATCTTCATCCCGACCCTTGATGCACAACTTCCCATCCCATTCGGCTGCATTCCTCCTCTACCTCCTGTCATATCCTTCTCTCTTCATGTCTTCTCTAGACCCCGTCATATGCACGGGGACGGGTAATTACCCTTAACAAGCAATTTTCTCCTCGGCCTTAACTTTGCAGGCCAAGATTCAACGGTGAAATGGCAAACATGTCCAACCTTAACTGACCTCTGCTCTAAAATGCCTTTCATATATATATATATATATATATATATATATATATATATATATATATATATATATATATAAAGAGAGAGAGAGAGAGACATACAGACATACAGATAGAGAGAGAGAGAAGGAGGAGAAAGAGAGAAGAATGGAGGGAGAGAGAGAGGAGAACATGAAGACATACAACCTAATACACACACATATCGTGACATGCACATATGACACTAAAGAATTCTGATATAAGACACATTGGAACCAGTGTAGATACGTGTATATACACACTAGAAACATGTGTCTGTTAACTGTATGCAAAGTTTGCAACTACAAAGTGAATCCACAATACAAAACTGTTTTTTCTTTGATGTTTGGCAGCATAGTTTATAAGTTCAATTCCTGGGCCCGGTAGTATGAACGATTTCTGATATAAACAACAAAGATTAAGACCGTCCGAATTTCAACAAAAATAATTTTTTATAATATAAAAAAACAAACTTCGGGTACATTTTCCCCTCGCTAACAAATATATACCCATATATATTCCCATTCTTATGATTACCACCGTTGCTATGTTATTTCCTTGGGCATTTCTTTTGTTGGTTTACTATAGTAATCGGTGGAAGATTCCACGAAACAAACAAAGCTTAGTAAATACCTCTTAGATTGAATTATTATAAGTAATTTCCAATTTTGGAAACCAATTTCGATGATGAATGTTTCATCCTAACTATAAATCATCCGTGGCAATCAAGAATAAGGTACACTAACATAATGACAATGGCAGCGTACACAGTGGTTTAAAGGAAAAACGTTTTTTTCCTCTTTGACAACGCAAGAAACACCCAGAACAAGATTTGGGAACACGGTTGGTCTGTTCCATCCTCCACTTGTCATATTCATCTGTCCCAGCACCAACCTATTGTCAACTTTTTGATCACTACAAAACGCTTTGATGTGGGCGGAGAGTGGGTATCTAAAGAAAACCAGATTCAAGATATTGTTGAAAAACTTTTCACATCAAAAACTGCGGACTCTTGCTCAAAACGTAACGAAGAACAGCCTGTTGAGTGGCAACGAATCACTGTAAATGATTGTGAATATATGATTGAATAAAATGTAAATTTATTTTATTAATTTTTAAGATCAAATTTGGTAATTAATTATGACACAAGCTAATATTTAAATCTTTCATGCTGACTTTAAATATTTGAGATTTAGGATTTTATATTAATAAGTTCATAAAATAGTCAATATGAAACGTGGTTTCATATAAATGAATTCATGAGAACTTCAACAGGCCCTACACTTTAGATCCAATGTATTTTATATTAATGAGTTCATGAGAGCTTCAATAAGCCCTACACTTTAGATCCGATGTATTTTATATTAATGAGTTCAAGAGAGCTTCAATAAGCCCTACTCTTTAGATACAATGTATTTTATGTTAATGAGTTCATGAGAGCTTCAGTAAGCCCTACTCTTTAGATCCAATGTATTTTTTATATTAATTAGTTCATGAGAGCTTCAATAAGCCCTACACTTTAGATCCGATGTATTTTTTGATTTTTATGAATTCATGAGAGCTTCAATAAGCCCTACTCTTTAGATCCAATAATTTTTTTATATTAATTAGTTCATGAGAGCTACAATAAGCCCTACTCTTTAGATCCGATGTATTTTATGTTAATGAGTTAAAAAGAGCTTCAATGATCCCTACTCTTTAGATCCAATGTATTTTTATATTAATGAGTTCAAGAGAGCTTCAATAAGCCCTACTCTTTAGATCCAATGTATTTTTTATATTAATGAGTTCAAGAGAGCTTCAATAAGCCCTACTCTTTAGATCCAATATATTTTTTATATTAATGAGTTCAAGAGAGCTTCAATAAGCCATACTCTTTAGATGTAATTTGGTTTTCGCACAAGTAAATATTAAGAGTGTTCAAAATTGTTGTAAGAAACTGGTAATATTTTCTTAAAATATCAAGAAAATATTTCTTTTGTTACACGAATGGTGGCGATTCAAACAAATTTCCTGACATACATTCCCTTTGCAAATAGCAAAGACGAACAAATGTTGCAACTTCTTGTGTCATGGGGTTAACGGTCGAGTCTTGTCCGTCGTAGTATGGAATGTGTCACTGCCTCGATCGACGTTGAACACACAACAAATGTTCTGTGGCATTCTTTTTATCAGATCTTCGCTCTCCCGATGCACTAGAAACGAACACGACTGTTGTTTGGTTGAAGTCGAATTCTGGATAGGGGCACGCGTGCATGTGGCTTTTCTGCAAGTAAACAATTTTCAACAATCTGTTTTGACACACCTGGGGCTATAAAATCTTTGATCCGTGCTGTGGACGCCAGGCGGTAAACCACTGCTACTTTTACACTGCGTCAATCTTGGAGAGCAACTCTAGTATGTGGCTGGCTATATCCTGGTCAACAGGTGTAAAAATGTTTGACAAATACTTCAGCATAGAAGCACCACCGACACGTCATATACGAAATACGCAGGAATTCCGCGAAATGACAATCTAATCTGACACATCTCAGACGGCTTTTCTTCTTTTATGTAACGTGACCTTTCAGGACGTGGGCGAGGCTGGTTTACATCACGTCAGCTCTTTCCTAATTATCGATGGCTGACCGATGGCCTGCACTTCCGTTTCGAATGACCATTCAGCCGGTGGTGTGAACATGTCATATTAATATATATATATATATATATATATATATATATATATATATATACATATATATATATAATTATTGTTATTATTATCATTATTATTAAATATGGCAATGAATGACCATTATGTCTGATTAAGAGCCATTTTAATGTTCGAATGTTTGCTTTAATTTCTGGTGAAAATACAGACATAAACTGGAAGAAGGCGATCATATGCACAGGTAGGTTTAAAAGAATCACTTAAAGCCGAATCTATTAAAGCCGTTATCATAAAAACCCGAATGGAATTATAAATGCTCCTTTAATAAAAACAGCCACACAACTAAAAAATAACAGCAGTATTTTTATAAGGCTGATAAGACTAATGCTTTAGTTATTTTAGACAAACATGAATACCACTCAAAAATACAGGCCATTTTGGACGATCAAAATAAGTTTAAAAAGTTAACCAAAAACACCAGCTCCCAACTTAAAAACTATATCAATAAACTTGTTAGTGCTAACAATACTGACACATGATCCTATAAACTTCAAATGATTATAGGTGACTATCAACCTGGTTACTGTTATGGAAATGTAAAAATCCATAAAAAAGTTCATCCTCTCTGACCTATCATTTCATAAATCCCTACACCAATATATTACCTTTCAAAAACCATTAATAAATTAATTACTCCCTACCTCCTAAGTAAATACTGTATTAACTCTACAAATGAATTTATACAAATTCTTCATTCTGTAAAACCAAACACCCAAATATTAGCATCTTTACAAGTACAAAATTTATTTACTAATGTCTCCGTCTATGAAATGATTGACATCATTACCTGTGATGTATACAGTTACCCTTCTCTCCCATGCATCAATATTAAACACACTATTTAAAAAATATATTATTAGCATGTACCACTTAAGTACCTTATCATGACCCGATAGGTAATATTTATACACAAATAGACGGTATCACGATGGGATCTCCTTTAGGCCCCCTTTTTTTCTAATTATTATATGGCACATTTAGAAAATAAAATACTTCATGACATTAATAAACCCCTTATATATTTAAGATATAGAGATGACATTTTCGTTTTAGCTAAAATATGGATCAAATTACAAGGCTTAAGAACAAATTTGAAAGTCATTCCGTCGTCAAATCCACATTAGAACTTAATAGTAATATTAAAATCCCAATACTTGATGTATTTATTGATTCCAGCGCACATAAATTTACTACTTCTCTATAAAGGAAACCCACGAGCCACAAAAATCTCTTGTCTTCGTAACTACAACAGTGAATGCCCTAACGATATAAGTTAGCTTTTATAAAAAAAACTTAATCCAACGCACACAAATGATATCTTCTTCCAGAACCATATTCTATAAAGAATTGCATAACATTAAACAAACACTTGTTAATAATGGATTTCCTAATTCCGTCATTGATCAACAAATTAAAATGTACCTCAATAAATGTCTATATTTCTGAGATGAAGTTTTATGTACACTATTTACATTATTCGGACTATTGTTCTCATCTTTGTTGCCATATTTATCACAACGTTTCGGTTGTTGTACGCTCCGGCCTTCTTCAGGTGGTTGTAATGTCGAACTA